TGGTCCTACTGAGTCGCCTCCTATTTACACGTCCACCTCTCTCTCCTTCTTCTCCCTTCTCGTTATCCCCTCGAAAACTGAGATTGCTCTTGGCCCAGCTTCTCGTCAGATTAGCCCCTTGCTGACGCACTCCACCCTGTTCCTGCTCGCGCCTCGACACTCCAACATTCCAATTCCTCCTCCCTCGATTTGCACATTCCCAAACTATTACAGTATTCTACTGTACCTCCCTTTTGTCCAGCCTATGCTTTCTTGTATAACCAATCTACCAATTCTTCTCTTTCTTCCACTCACCACTTCTTTGGCTGCTGTGTTAACCGAGGGAAGGCTCCTGTCTTTCCGCGGGTAACGCGACATCTCGCACACTTCCCTGCATCTTCCTTGGTTTCAACTCTGACTCCCTTGACTACCTGTTCCTCTACCCCCCCTCAATTCGCCTTATCCGCAGTCGCGATGTCACATTTGACAAATCCACACCCTATTACCCCTTCACCCCTTCCACTGACCCCTTTCCCCCGGTAACCCGTCCCCTCCTTTGGACCGACACCGTCGCCCCACCCCTTTTCCCTCCCCTCCCACTTCTCCCCCCCCCCACCCGTCCCTCCTGCCCCCGCCCCTGCTCCCGCCCCCGCTCCAGCCCCCTCCTCCTCCTCCTCAGGAGATATCCTTGACCCCGTGCTTCCCCCCTCCCCCCTCACCCTCCACTAACCCTACCCACTCCCAATCTAGAGCTCCCTCCCCACCACCTCCTCCCCCACCACCCCCTCCCCCACCTCCTCCTCCGCGCCTCCCCTTCCAGCCCCACACTTGCTCGCTCGATTCCCTCATTGGTGCTCCCCCCCCCCTCGTGTCCTCAACACCTTTGCCCCCTCCCCGCAGCCCTCCCTTCCCCCCAGCCCATTCCCCAGGTCTCTCCACCGCTTGCACCTGGCATCCTCATGCTTTCGACACCACCCTTCGCCTCCCGGCGCCGATACGGCCTCGCGCTCTCAGCACCACCCTTCATCTCCCGGCGCCGACCCACGTCTCCCGGCCTCCTCTGCCTCAACTTCCGTGCAACTCCACCAGCCCCACCACCTCCCCCTCTTTCCCCTAGGCATGAGCAAAACCGGGTATTTACCCGACCCGACCCGGTTTTGCTATACCCGACTTCGGGTCGGGTATTTTTGGGTCGGGTACGGGTCGGGTACGGGTCGGGTAACATGCCCAGGACCAATACCCGGACCCGGGATTTGGGGGCGGGTAATTTAATACCCGCCTGGCGGGTCCGGGTATACCCGACCCGGTATTACCACTCTGAATGCATCTGTATCTACGAAACCCAACCCTTGCCAATCTACAATGCTCTAAGTGACCTAGCAACTCACGTAACCTAGAAACTTGATGAAATTTCTCTACCAGCACGACTAATGTCTCGCTGGTTCCGTCGGGTAGACCGCTACCCGATTTCGGGTCGGGTACCCGCTACCCGACACGTCGGGTAGCATTTCGGGTACCGGGTATTGAATACCCGCCCGGGTAACCCGGACCCGACCCGCCGGGTAATATTCAGGATTTCCGATACCCGACCCGCCCTAAAAGGGGATCCGGGTACCGGGTACCCGACCCGGGCGGGTAGTATGCTCAACCCTACTTTCCCCCCTTGTTCAAGAGGATGCTCACGAAGAGATCCTCACGCTCCATCACCTCAACCCGCTCCTCGTGCCAATCGCCTTCAGCATCGCATGCACCCCTGTGTTTGTCGTCTCCGGCGCCCCAACCATCTTCGAACATGGCACCTACGAGGAGGCGATGGCGTGCCCGGATGCAGCCCGTTGGCTCGAGGCCATCATCAATGAACTACAAGCCTTCATACGCAATCGCTCCTTCATCGATGTCCGCCGCCCGTCCTGTGCCAATGTGGTTCGTGGCAAGTGGGTGTTTCGAGTCAAGCTATTACCTGGGGAGGCCACTGTCTTCGACACCTACTCACCCACTGCCACTCCCCCGGTCGTCCGAGTATTCCTAGACTTTGTCGGGCGACTCGGCATGATCCTACACTCTATGGATGTCACCACCGCTTTCCTTCAATGCGAACTCCACGAGCAGATCTTCCTCGAGCGCCCCAGCGGCTTCCATCTCCCCTTCGATCCCTCCACTGTGTGGGAACTCAAGCGGCCCGTCTACGGCCTGAAGCAGGCACCCCGAGAGTGGTATGCCAAGCTTTCTTCCACCCTTCGCGACCTGGGCTTTTGTCCCTCCCAAGCTGCCTCCTGCCTCTTCCTTCGCACCTCCCCCTCACCCTTCTACATCCTCGTCTATGTTGACGATATGCTCTTGGCCGCCTCCAACGACGCAGACCTACAACAAGTCAAAGACGAACTACCTTGGCATTGAGATCACTCGCGACAAGGAAGCACGCACGATCTCGCTCTCCCAGTCCTACTACATCAAGAAAGTGCTCGAGCACTTCGAGATGTCACCGGCCAAGCCTGTCTCCACTCCTCTTGATGTCAACCACCAGCTCACACCCCCCACCACCCCAGCCTCCTCCGACGACCCCTACGCTGAGCTCGTGGGGTCCCTGATGTACGTCATGATCTGCACTCGCCCCGACCTGGCCTACCCCATCAGTATCCTTGCCCGATTCGTTGGCTGGGGAAGTGTGAGAGTACGACCCCGTTACACCACTTGGCTTTTCCTTCCTATTTCATTTCTCTTTTTATCCCATTTCATTTGGTTTCCTCTTCTCCATTTTTCATTAACCTTTGGTTTATCCTGTTATTATCATTATATCACCGACCAGGCTCGGGATGTACTATTGCGCTCTATCTAGCGTAATCCTGCCGTAATCCCTTAAAGCCAATAGCCTCGCGTGGCTATACGCAGGGTGATTCTATATTCTAGAAGGGTCTATTCCCTTGGGATAAGATAAACCTGGTTACCTGATGTACTTTAGAAGTATAAAAGCGCCTTGTACTGATCGATAGTGCAATCTTTCCTCGACACATTCGATCCTGTGACACTTGGTAATCAGAGCTTTTCTCACTCGGCCGCGCTCCACAAAGCAGCAGCAGCGGGAAAACCTGCCTCGAAAAACCGCCGGGGGCGACCACTTCAACGCCGATTCTGGTAAGCACCAGCTCCGCGTTTTTCGAATTACCCCCCCGCGCGTGTTTTGAACGGGATGGCAACCTTCGACAACGCCGAGGTTACCCAGCAGCTCTTCGCGCGCATCGCAGCTTCAGGAGGAGATGCGAGCGGATCGCGAAGTGTGGCGAAACGAGTTCGAGCGAGTAACTCGACTCGCCGGAGCGCAGCACGACTCAACAACGGCGACGACGCAGCAGTCGCAGCAGTTTCTCGAGGCTCCGAAACCGCGCCCACCTGAGCCGTTCGATCCGAGCGATCGAAACTCCGACGCCCGCAGATGGATCGCCGGGATGGAGATCTACTTCGCAGCCGTCGGATGGAGCTCGCCAGTCTGGGACGGTCAACGTGTACACTCGCGGCGACACTGATGCGAGGCCGGCACTTGAGTGGATTGGCGGCAACAGCACTTTTATCCATGGTGAAGCCACGTGGCAGCAGTTCCGCGCCAACCTGCTGAAACGTTTCGAGCTGATAAATTCCAGTTTCCTTGCCCGGGAAAAAATTCATCGACACCGACAGTTCGGGAGTGTAGCGCAGTACACGCAGCAGATGGAAGAATTTTACAACCGAATTCCCGACCTGACCGAAGGGGAAAAAGTAATCGTACCTCGCCGGGCTGAAGACCGAAGTCAAACGACAAGTGGTCAGCGTCAAACTACGCGAGCTACCAGTGACGTCGTTTCAGCAGCGGAGCGCTTCGACATGGTCAACGCCGGAACACGACGGACGCACAGTCGGCAGTACGCGACAGGGCGAACCGCTCGGCTCACCCCACGTTCGCCGACCCGATGGAAGTCGACAGATTCGAGGGCGGCCACGTCCGAAAAACACCAACTAACACGTGTGATTTTTGCGGTGGTGGGGCCGGTCCATCGAATCTTCGACTGCAACAAAATGAAAGCCGCACGCGCAGAGTATCGGGGCACGCAACAGTGGGCGGAATTCCTTCAGGCCAAGTCAGAAGACAAAAAACGGGAGTCGCCAGTGATTGCGGATCTAGCTGGCGAAAATAAAAAGATCCGAAACGGCCACAGGATGCCGGAAAAATCAACTTCGACGAAGCTGATTCGACGCACAAGGAGAAAATGGGATGGGAGGAAAATCTCCACCCCACGACCAGTCTTCGCCAGGGAAAATCGCCGAGAAAAAATACGACTCTGCGAAAAAGACTCTGCCGAGACGGGGAAACTCCTTGAAGACCCAAGAAATTATAAGGATTCGTTAAAGCTATCCTATAAAGATGCTTTAATGAAAACTTATGATTCTCGAGGGGGCTAGAGCCTTGGAGAAATTCGGGAAGGACTCTAAAAGAAGCAGACAGCTCTGGAGATTATACCGGTACCGGACAACTTGGGGAAAAAATTAAGGAGTGTGGAAAGAAGCCGACCTTTCACGGAGTCAACGTCCTCTCCCGACACCAGCCCACAACGACTTCCCGTTCCCCAGGGAAGACGTCAGTGGAGCTGAAGCAGCTCAAGGGGAAGCTGGGGGTCTACAAGAAGCTGCAGAAACCCCGAATTCCTCCTCCGGATGCATCCAGTTCAGCAACTTCGGCATCAACGACGCGCACAGTCGTCAAGGAAACTCCCGGGCCCTGGAGAAGAGCCGTTCTCCAAGCAGCCTCGGCCAGCTGCCAGCCCAGGAGTAGATAGCAACGAAAAGGTGTGTACGGAATATTGGGATGTACCCTATGACACAATCAATGAAACTATCTTTGGGTACTCCGAGCAACGCCTGCCCCTCGTGCTCGAGGTCATCTGCAAAGGACGACGCCTCCAAGCACTCGTGGACAGCGGAGCATCGCACACCGTCTGCGACAAGGCAGTACATCGACCGACTTCGGAGAAGAGTACAAGCCATCAGGTTCTCTGCAACAATGGTGGACGGCAGCAAGTTACCAGTACACGGCGAAGCAGTGCGTACACCTACAAATTGGACCACTGCGCTGGAGACGTGCACTCCCATCACCAACATCAAAGGGCTTCACTTGGTCTTCGGGCGAAACTTCCTAAAAAGATTCAACCCCGAGATCATCTGGGATGAATCGCCACCGCAAGCATCTACAACACTGGACGGAGAGTCAGCTACCCAACTGGGACGATACAGGAGATATCCCAGTGGAGACACTCGCACGATTCGAGAAGGACGTGAAGCGAACCGACACCGGGTTCCTGGCGATAGCAACAGGAGAACGACGGAGAGAAACCTCGGAACCTCCGGAAAAAATCAAGGATTGCTGAAGGAGTTCCAGACAACCTTCTGACGATCTTTCGAACAGCTACCGCCATACCGAACGCGCATCAACACGAGATCGTGGAGGAACCGGGTTCGAAGCCGACCTTCCGAGCACCATATCGGCTCAGCCCTACGGAGCTGACCGACATGAAAAAACAGATCGAGTATCTCCTAGCCAAAGGACTCATCCGACCATCCACTTCGCCATACGGTGCCCAGTACTCTTCACACCGAAACCGGACGGAAGCCTGCGCATGTGCATCGACTACCGAGCTCTTAACAAGCAGACCATCAAGAATAAATATCCGATACACGAATCGATGACCTGCTTGACCAGCTTCGGGGAGCTACGTATTTTCCAAACTGGATCTGCGGTCCGATACTGGCAGATACGGATGGCGGACAACTCTATCCACAAAACTGCTTTCCGAACTCGGTATGGATTGTACGAGTATTTGGTAATGCCATTCGGACTCACCAACGCACCGGCAACATTCCAAGCCGAAATGAACCACATTCTACGACCACTTTTGGACGAGTGCGTGGTGGTGTATCTGGACGACATCCTCATCTACTCGCGCGACATGAAGCGCACGTCGAAACACCTGCGACGCGGTCTTCGAAATTCTTCGACGCAAACGATTCTACGTCAAACTGTCCAAGAGCAAATTCGCCATTGAGAAGGTCCAGTTCCTAGGACACATGGTGAGCGCTCAAGGAGTTCACGGTCAACCCCAAGAAAATCGAAGCCGTACGTACGTGAAAGACACCGAGAACGTGAAGGAGTTGCAGCAGTTCCTAGGCTTCGCTAATTACTACAACAGGTTCGTGCCACAGTATGCGAAACTCGCAGCACCACTCACGAATCTGCTGAAAAAAAACACGCCCTACAAATGGGAGCCGAAGCACCAGGAAAGCCGTGGAGCAGCTGAAGCAAGCACTTACATCCGCACCAGTACTCATTCTTGCCAGATCCCGAACGCGACTACGTCATCGAAGCTGACGGCCAGTGGACCAGGCAGTGGGAGCAGTCTTGATGCAAGACCAAGGAAATGGACTGCAACCAATCGCCTACCTCAGCAAGAAACTGCACGGGGCAGAACTAAACTACCCGATACACGACAAAGAGGCCCTTGCCATCGTCATCGCCTTCAAAGCGTGGAGATGTTATCTCGAAGGACGAAGAACAACCGTCTACACCGACCACTGCAGCCTGAAATACTTGAAGACACAACCCAACCTTTCCAGGCGGCAGGTTCGGTGGATCGACTTCCTCGAGACACACTTCCACTACGACATCGTGTACAAGCCCGGCCACAAAAAAAAGCAGACGCCCTCAGCCGGCCTGCACACGTTGCCGCTATTCAGATCGAAGGGATGAATCCACTCCTCAAGGGACTCTTCACACACGTGTACGCCATCGACCCCGAAATTCCCTTGGCAGAAAAACGACATCTGCTACAGTGGGACAACGACATCGCGTACAGGAATGGATCAACAAAAATCTGGGTACGTAATTACCCTCCATTGCGCCAGTTACTACTCGAAGAATACCACGACGTCCTCTACGCCGGACACTTCGGTAGCAACAAGACGCTGACCGGTATTGCAAAACACTACTACTGGCCCCACTTGGCAGAGGATGTTCAGAAATTTGTCACCTCGTGTGATACATGTCAGAGGATGAAGAGCAGCAACAGAAGAAAGCGGGACTGCTACAGCCTCTTGTCCCAGAACAGCCATGGCAAGTGGTCATGGGAAACGCACGTCGTCCTCTGCATGACTACCTTGTCAAGCAGGGTGTCACTTCTACCATCCAGCTTTGAGGGGGGGATCTGTGAGAGTACGACCCCGTTACACCACTTGGCTTTTCCTTCCTCTTTCATTTCTCTTTTTATCCCATTTTATTTGGTTTCCTCTTCTCCATTTTTCATTAACCTTTGGTTTATCCTGTTATTATCATTATATAACCGACCAGGCTCGGGATGTACTATTGCGCTCTATCTAGCGTAATCCTGCCGTAATCTCTTAAAGTCAATAGCCTCGCGTGGCTATACGCAGGGTGATTCTATATTCTACAAGGGTCTATTCCCTTGGGATAAGATAAACCTGGTTACCTGATGTACTTTGGAAGTATAAAAGCGCCTTGTACTGATCGATAGTGCAATCTTTCCTCGAGTCATTGGATCCTGTGACAGGCAAGCACTCTGAGGCACACTGGAAGGCAGCCAAGCGTGTCCTTCTTTACCTTTGAGGAACCAAGGACTACGTCCTTACGCTTGGCGGTCGCACCCCACCCACCCTCACCAGCTTCAGCGACTCCTCATGGGCTGACTCCCAGCCTGATCGTCACAGCTCCCAGGGGTATGGCTTCACCCTGGGGAGTGGCCTCATTAGCTGGCGCTCTACCCGCTCCTCCTCCATTGCCCTCTCCTCCTATGAAGCTGAACTCTATGCCGTTACCACGGCTGCACAGGAAGCTCGCTGGCTCGGCTACCTTCTCACGGAATTTGGTGCCCCTCAGCTCTGCCCCACCATCTGGTGCGACAATGCTAGCACGATACACTTCACCAAAGAAGCAGTTTCCCATGGCCGCTCCAAGCACATCGAGCTCCGCCACTACTTCGTTCGCGAACTCGTCCAAGCCGACCATCTAACCGTCCACAAGATTGACTCCTCTGCCAATCTTGCTGACATCTTCACCAAGGCTCTCCCTCGCATTCGTCACTCCCTCCTCAGCCTCTTAGGCCTTGCTCCTCGCTCCTCCTCGTTCCCTACCTGATTCAAGAGTCGTCTCTTCTCGACCCAAGTATTCTCTCACTATGCAGGCTACGGGGTTGTGTCAGAATATAGTATTCTTTTTATCCTACATAGTTTCTTATACTTGTGTATATATATATATATATATATACATATATAACCAAGTTGGGCTATCTAGGGGTGTAGATGAATGTTGGGGTTGGATATTCAACCAACCCTTGACCCCAAATATCGAGGTGTTCAATCTTGTTGGTCTTCCACCAACATTATTGGCTCCTCAATTGTTGGTGGTCCAACCTTCCCAAGTTCCCGTGGTCAATTCTTCTCTCCACATTTTCTCTCTGATGCACTCCCTAACCCAAGCACCCGTCGAAGATGTAGCTTGTCTCAACAGTACGTTGGTAGAGAGCACGAGCCACCTTGTGCTGCATTCAACATACATGTGCTGCATGTGCCATCAGCACACACGTGGCGCATTCCACTCACGATCTGGTTAATGCACTCCCCAGAGCACCCGTCGAAGAGGTAGCAGGCCTCGACAGTGCGCTGGTAGAGGGCACGCGCACCTTGTGGCGAATGCTGAGGGAAACTCCTCCATCACCTCGTCCTCCACCTGCTCCGTCTCAAACTGCAGCCGCACGTGCTGCCATGGGCAGGTGGATACACAGTAGAGAGGAGAGAGGAGAGAGGAGGCGAGGGGAAGAAGGATGGAAGGGGAGAGGCAACTCCTCCATCACCTCGTCCTCCACCTGCTCCATCTCGAACTGCAGGCGCACGTGCTGCAGGTGGGACGTGGATAGGGCGGTACAAGGAACACGTGGAGACACGGGATGCTGAGGGGAAGCTCCTTCATCACCTCGTTCTCCACCTGCTCCGTCTCGAATTGAAGCGTCGCGTGCTGCAGTGATGTGGGCATGTGGAGAAGGACAAACGGATGGCATGGGAGCTGCACGTGCTGCAGCAAGAGAGAGGGGCGTGGCATGTGGAGAGAGAGTGCAAGAAGGATGGGAAGAAGGATGGGGAGGTGAGGAGAGAGGGATGCAGAGAGGAAGCTTCACCACGCCCTCACCCTCCACCAGCTGTGTCTCACATTGTAGCCTCACGTGCTGTGTGTGGCGGGAGTGGCATGACGCCACAGAAGGAGGCAGGAAGGGCTGAACGATGTGAGGTCTACAACATGCAGCGACCCTTCTTCTTTCACACTCCCCCTCTCAATCCCTCCCTTTCACACTCTGCCCACTTACTCTCGCAGCTTCCTCCTTTCTCGTCCTCACACCTCTCTCCCTACCTGCATCTGTCCTCATCTGCTGCCGGAGTGCGTGCGGCAGGTGGTTGCAGTTCATGTACTTGATCAGCGCTGACATCTGCTCCTCCTCTCGCACCCTTGCCTCCCTTACTCCTCACATCTCTCACCCTCATACATACCTCACCTCGCCCTGCCCGCACCTGTCTCATCTGCTGCCGCAGCGCATGCGGCAGGTGGTTTCCTATTCATGTACTTGATCAGCGCTGACATCTTCTCGCGGTACCGCGTCGTGTTGGACCCCTTCACCACCATTGCCGTGATGTTGCCTGCTCGCAGGGGGATAGGGTGACACACAACGCATGGGGTGGCACACAGGGCATGGGGCATTGGGAGCAGCAAGACGACCCCTGCACCACCATGGCTGTGGTGTCGCCTGCGCAGAGCATACAGGGTGAAGGGAGGAGGACACATGGCATGCAGTGAAAGAGAAGGGCATGAGGAGCAGCAAAAAGGCCCCTTCACTCACCACCATCGCTGTCATGTTACCTGCTCACAGGGCAGGGGGCATGGGGGCGAGCACAGATGGCTTTGTCCCGGCTTTAACCAGCGAGGCACACAGAGAGGAAGGGTTCAAAGGAGATAAGGAAGGGTTTAAAGGAGATAAGGAAAGGTTCAAAGAAGATAAGGAAGGGTTCAAAGGAAATAAGGAAGTGTTCAAAGGAGATAAGGAAGAAGGGTCCAAGGCATCTCTTGGGTCGTTTGAATCGACTTACCAACGAGGTAGGTCAAGAGAATGTGGTCAAAGGGAAATGCAGGCCATGGCTCAGAGCATCACTTGCGCTGTAAGAGCCGGCTCACCAACGAGGTAGGCGGAGAGGACGAGGTCGAAGGAGATGTAGACCATGGCGAACACCATTTCCCGCGGGTTCACTGGATGCACGTCGCCGTAGCCTGGGAGGGAGATGGTGGCACGAAGGTGGACGGCAGATGGCGAAGAGAATTTCCAGGCGGCACACAAGTGGGAAGGGCGTTCTATGTGGGCTGACAGGCGTGGGAAGGACGAAAAAGCCACGGTGAAAGCACTTGCACAAGGGGACGGAGCAAGCAATAGGGTGAAGGCAGTTCACCCAACAATAATCACCATGCTGATGACGCACCATTAGAGCGAGGTGGCCCAACACCTCCTCCCATGCATGCAAGGCACTCGCCATGCTTTCCAGTCGACTCGAAAGTGCACTCACCAATAGTGGCCATGGTGATGACGGACCAGTAGAGCGCAGTGAAGTACCGCGTGTACAGGTCAATGTCTCGGAAGTCCGTGTACTGCAGGTCCCCCAGAGTGAGGCTGCCGATCCACGTGCTGCCTTCCTGTGCATGCCACACATGTGTTGCGGGCAAGCGAGAGAGAGTCGTGCAATCAATCACCCAGGAGTTTGAGTCTGATTGTGTCAGGTCAGGTCAGGTCAGGTCAGGTCAGGTCAGGTCAGGTCAGGCTGTGTCTAGAAGCACATAGGGCTGACAGGGCAGACATGGTAGACGCATAGACGCACGACCGTCGGATGGGGCACACTGACACTGACACACTGACACACTGACACACGGACACACTGACACACTGACACACTGACACACTGACCGTCCAGTGCCGTCACACTGACTGAAGCTAGACTTGAAGCTTGCGCTTCATGACCCAAAGGCGTGGAAACCGAGAGGCGGAATGGGAGAGCACAAGGCAAACCACGAGCGCAACACGAGCGCAACATGCGTCCAACACGTGAGCAACATGAGAGCAACACGAAAGCAACACGTAAGCAACACGTGAGCAACACGTGAGCAACATGAGAGCAACACGTGAGCAACACGAGAGCAACACGTGAGCAACCCGTGAGCAACACGAGAGCAAGACGTGCCTTCACCTTGTTGCTCTCTTGTCAACAAAGAAGTCAACGGAAAAAGCAGATGACACATGGCTCGTACCTGGTCGGGCGGGTAGGTGGTGGCGAGGAAGTAGAAGAAGCAGCCGGCCACGTGGGTGATGTAGAGCTCCACGAATATGAGCTTCACCACACGCACCGCGAAGTAGCTCAGCCGGATGTCCCTCTGCAACCTGGGGTATAGATTACGCACATGGGGAAACAGAACGTGTAGACAGGAGGAGCAAACAGTACACGGTGATGTCGGCGATGTGGAGCTCCACAAACATCCGCTTCACCACGCGCACTGCAAAGTAGATCAGGCGGATGTCCCTCTGCAACCTGGGGTTGGGCGCATTGGAGAACAGGTGTGAATAAAACGAATCAGGTGGACGATGACGTGGGTGGGAGGGTGGCACAGAACGCCACAAATATGAGCTTCACCACGCACACCGGGTGTTTGCTCACTGTGAAAAATGAGCCCCGCTGCGACCTGCACATTGGAACCGGGGAGTAGGTTGCAGGAAGGTGAAGCAGGTAGCTTCCGAGTGCTGCTTTTGTTTCCAGCACCACAGCTCTTGAGACTAATGCATGGCCGGCACAAAGTTTGGGAGCACTTGAAATGAGGTGGAAGGAGACACAAGACAGTTCCCATCTGGTTGAAACTCAAATAAGCTTGCTTCCTACAGAGGTGAGGCATGGGGTCCTGCACGCCTTTCATGGCCTGCCATACTTGGAAGGGCTGAAGAAGGCACGCACATACAGCCACACACATCACATACCGGTGGAAGTAGTTCATCACATGGCGTGTCCTCACAACTCTCGTCCATAAAAACCATCGCAGCAGGTGTGTAATGAGTCGATTTTTTAGTCCACTAAAAAATCGACTCATTACACACGGATTATACATGAGAGAATTTTTGTCGCATGGAAGGCTGGGCGTAACTTGCAAAAGTTACTTGTTCGCGCGAGGCTCCCTGAGCACCAGCTGGCGAGAAGTGGGGTTACCCACGACACGTCCTGAGGAATGAAGACCTGGCACCTTGGAACTTTCCAGGGTGTTTTTGGATTGGCAGACCATATTTCAGTCGCGGTTGTTTCAGTCGCGGTTGTTTGTTCTCGTAGCGCAGTTTCTGTTTAAGAGCTCGCTTGTAAACTCACTTTCATAATTCCACCAGCACTGATGAAGGTCTGATTTGGGGCCTGTCCCAGTCAGTCAAAACTAGTTTGCGTTTTAATCTTCTAGTGGAGCTGAGTTCGGAACTTCAAATTCTCGCATTTTAAACAGGGGTATCTTTACCTACTGTTACTCTCTTTGCTAAAGTTCTCCTCTTCGTTGCAGCCCACCCTAACGCTTAATGGCCACACATCACATACCGGTGGAAGTAGTTCATCACATGGCGTGTCCTCACAACTCTGGTCCATAAAAACCATCGCAGCAGGTTGTCATCACCTTCCCCTCCTGCCAGCTGCCAAACAGGTCAGCGGGAGTAGGCCAAACGAACTCATGGGCAAACGAACTCATGGGCAAACGAACTCATGGGCAAACGGGCTGATGGGCAAGGGGCTGATGGGCAAACGGGCTGATGGGCAAAGGGGCTGATGGGCAAACGGGCTGATGGGCAAAGGGGCTGATGGGCAAAGGGGCTGATGGGCAAAGGGGATGATGGGGAAAAGGGGCTGATGGGCAAACGGGCTGATGGGCAAAGGGGCTGATGGGCAAAGGGGCTGATGGGCAAAGGGGGCTGATGGGCAAAAGGGGCTGATGGGCAAAGGGGATGATGGGCAAAGGGGCTGATGGGCAAGGAAGGGCAGTGAGGCAGCGAAGCAGCAGCAGGGTGGCAAAGGTACACTAGCTGCAGTTCAGGTGCGGCCAGCAGCAGGTATGGCAGCACGTACGTCAGCAAGGGTCCAAACTGGACCCTCTCCCCCGTTGCTCTCGACAGACGCCATGCAGGAAGCAAAGTGATGAGGCAGACATGTAGCAAGCTGGCATACAGGCCATACTTTGAGGTGATGTCTCAAGCTGTGCTTTCTGTGACTTTTCTCTACCTATCTAAATTGTTTCTGTGCTTATATCCACTGCATCCGTACCATTGTGCATGTGCCTGAGTGAACAGTGCAAAGGAAATAGTGGGACAGAAGGCGCACCTGGAAGAAGGTGTCCCAGGGGAAGAGCGCGAGCACGTCACAGGCGAAGAACGTGCAGAGATACCTGCCACATAGGGGCGGGGGGAGCAGAGGAGGGGAGGGGGAAAGGAGATAGAGGGGGAGAAGAAGGAGACAGAGAGGGGTTGAGGATTGAGAAAAAAGAGCAGGGCAGAGACGAGAAATGTGCAGAGATAATGAGAGAAAAGAAGGGGGGAGAGGAAAGGGGGGGGGGGGAGGGGGGAGGGGGGGCGAGAAGTAGGAGACAGCGTCTGAGAGACAGCGTCCTGAGGGAGACAGAGTCTGAGGAAACAGCGTCTGAGGAAACAGCGTCTGAGGAACAGCGTCTGAGGAAAACAGCGTCTGAGGAGACAGCGTCTGAGGAGACAGCGGTCTGAGGAGACAGAGTCTGAGGAAACAGCGTCTGAGGAAACCAGCGTCTGAGGAAACAGCGTCTGAGGAAACAGCGTCTGAGGAGACAGAGTCTGAGGAGACAGCCGTCTGAGGAAACGCGTCTGAGGGAAAACAGCGTCTGAGGAAACACCAAGCCGTCTGAGGAAACAGCGTCTGAGGAACAGCGTCTGAGGAAACAGCGTCTGAGAAACAGCGTTGAGGAACAGCGTCTGAGGAAACAGCGTCTGAGGAGACAGAGTCTGAGGAAACAGCGTCTGAGGAAACAGCGCAAAGTTGAGACAGCGTCTGAAGGAAAAAACAGCGTCTGAGGAAAACAGCGTCTGAGGGAAACAGCGTCTGAGGAAACAGCGTCTGAGGAAACAGCGTCTGGAGGAAACAGCGTCTGAGGAAACAGCGTCTGAGGAAAACAGCGTCTGAGGAGACAGCGTCTGAGGAAACAGCGTCTGAGGAAAGTCAGGAAACAGCGTCTGAGGAAACAGCGTCTGAAGGAGACAGAAGGTCTGAGGAAACAGCGTCTGAGGAAACAGCGTCTGAGGAGACAGCGTCTGAAGGAAACAGCGGTCTGAGGAAACAGCGTCTGAGGAGACAGCGTCTGAGGAAACAGCGTCTGAGGAAACAGCGTCTGAGGAAACAGCCGTCTGAGGAGACAGAGGAGCGTCTGAGGAAACAGCGTCTGCGGTGAGGAAACAGCGTCTGAGGAAACAGCGTCTGAGGGAGAACAGCGTCTGAGGAAACCAGCGGTCTGAGGAAACAGCGTCTGAGGAAACAGCGTCTGAGGAAACAGCGTCTGAGGAACAGCGTCTGAGGAAACAGCGTCTGAGGAGACAGCGTCTGAGGAAACAGCGTCTGAGGGAAACAGCGTCTGAGGAAACAGCGTCTGAGGAAACAGCCGTCTGAGGAAACAGCGTCTGAGGAGAGAAACAGCGTCTGAGGAAACAGCGTCTGAGGAGACAGCGTCTGAGGAAACAGCGTCTGAGGAAACAGCGTCTGAGGAAACAGCGTCTGAGGAAAACAGCGTCTGAGGAAACAGCGTCTGAGGAAACAGCGTCTGAGGAAACAGCGTCTGAGGAAACAGCGTCTGAGGAAACAGCGTCTGAGGAAACAGCGTCTGAGGAAACAGCGTCTGAGGAACAGCGTCTGAGGAGACAGCGTCTGAGGAAACAGCGTCCTGAGGAAACAGCGTCTAAGGAAACAGCGTCTGAGGAAACAGCGTCTGAGGAAACAGCGTCTGAGGAAACAGCGTCTGAGGAACAGCGTCTGAGGAAACAGCGTCTGAGGAACAGCGTCTGAGGAACAGCGTCTGAGGAAACAGCGTCTGAGGAAACAGCGTCTGAGGAAACAGCGTCTGAGGAAACAGCGTCTGAGGAAACAGCGTCTGAGGAAACAGCGTCTGAGGAAACAGCGTATGAGGAAACAGCGTCTGAGGAAACAGCGTCTGAGGAAACAGCGTCTGAGGAAACAGCGTCTGAGGAAACAGCGTCTGAGGAAACAGCGTCTGAGGAAACAGCGTCTGAGGAAACAGCGTCTGAGGAAACAGCGTCTAAGGAAACAGCGTCTGAGGAAACAGCGTCTGAGGAAACAGCGTCTGAGGAAACAGCGTCTGAGGAAACAGCGTCTAAGGAAACAGCGTCTGAGGAAACAGCGTCTGAGGAAACAGCGTCTGAGGAAACAGCGTCTGAGGAAACAGCGTCTGAGGAAACAGCGTCTGAGGAGACAGCGTCTGAGGAGACAGCGTCTGAGGAAACAGCGTCTGAGGAAACAGCGTCTGAGGAGACAGAGTCTGAGGAAACAGCGTCTGAGGAAACAGCGTCTGAGGAAACAGCGTCTGAGGAAACAGCGTCTGAGGAAACAGCGTCTGAGGAAACAGCGTCTAAGGAAACAGCGTCTGAGGAAACAGCGTCTGAGGAAACAGCGTCTGAGGAAACAGCGTCTGAGGAACAGCGTCTGAGGAAACAGCGTCTGAGGAAACAGCGTCTGAGGAAACAGCGTCTGAGGAAACAGCGTCTGAGGAAACAGCGTCTGAGGAAACAGCGTCTGAGGAAACAGCGTCTGAGGAAACAGCGTCTGAGGAACAGCGTCTGAGGAACAGCGTCTGAGGAAACAGCGTCTGAGGAAACAGCGTCTGAGGAAACAGCGTCTGAGGAAACAGCGTCTGAGGAACAGCGTCTGAGGAAACAGCGTCTGAGGAAACAGCGTCTGAGGAAACAGCGTCTGAGGAAACAGCGTCTGAGGAAACAGCGTCTGAGGAAACAGCGTCTGAGGAAACAGCGTCTGAGGAAACAGCGTCTGGCCGCATTTCGGCGCGGCGCTCGGCCGCATTTCGGCGCGGCGCCGGCGCATTTCGGCGCGGGCCCGGCCCATTTCGGTGCGGCGCTCGGCCCGCATTTCGGCGCGGGCCCGGCCGCATTTCGGCGCGGCGCTCGTCTGCATTTCGGCGTCCGGTCCTCACCATCTGCGCCGGCCGTCGCCTTTCGCATGGCGCCCGAAGAAGGCTACGGCGACTTAAGAGCTGCGCTCGCGCACCCGTCTTCTTCTCCCCCCCCCCCCCCCCCCTCCCCCTCCCCTCCCCCCTCCCTCCCCCCCCCCCCCTCCCCCCCCCCCCCCCCCCCCCCCCCCCCCCCCCCCCCCCCCCCCCCCCCCCCCCCCCCCCCCCCCCCCCCCCCCCCCCCCCCCCCCCCCCCCCTCCCCTCTCCTCCTCTCCTCCTTCCCCACAACAGCAGCAGCCGCATCCCCCAATCGCCAGCAGCCGCATCAGCACCGCAACCGCACCCTCCACCGCCTTCACCTCCTCCCCACTCCCTCATCAGCCGCAGCAGCCACATCTCCCCCCTCCACCTCCCCTACTCCCCTTCCTCCCCCACCAGCAGCAGCCGCCTCATCTCAGCAGCACCATCAGCAGCAGCAGCCGTATTTCCCCCCTCCCCTCCCTCCTCCTTCTCCCCTCTCCCTCATCCCCAGCAGCAACAGCATCAGCACCCGCAATTCCACCATGACCACCGAAGCACTCGCCGTCGACATCTCCACCATCGACGTCCTCGAGCTCATCGACGACGCGTCCCTGTCAACTGGGCTACCTTTGCCCAGAGCCTACCAATGTCCTCGGATCCGCAATCATCAACGATACTGCCTCCTCGACATTCTCCTTGGCATGACGCAGGGCAGCCCCCAGAGCGTCCTGCTGATGTCTCCCCTGCACCTCCCGCCCCACCCCCCCCCTCGGGACCGGCCCCACCAAGCCCTCTCCCACTGGTCTACACCGACGACCCTGATCGCTGGGCTCGCGTGCAGCACCATATGACAAGGACTTTGCGGAGTACACTCTCCTCCAGCACGCGTATGACGCAGAGCAAGCTGCGCACGACGCTGCCAACACACTCCTCCAGCAGCACAAGGACGCCACGGCTAAGTATGCTGACGACTTTCGTGAGTACCGTCGTCGCCACTCTGCCTGGAACGTTGCCAACCGCAAATGTCTCGCTATCCTGTCTGCATGCGTTCCTTCCTCCCTCAAACGCGAAATTACCCCCTCCTCCGCTCCCGAGTTCTGGAAAGAGCTATGTGCCACCTATGACCTCCAGGACACCAACTCTCTCCTAGCGCTCCACCGCGCCTTCCTCGACATCAACCTCGACTCCTGCCCCAACGCCCTCTCCTTCACGCGCCGCCTCCTCACCACTGCCAAACGCCTTGCCGATCGTCGCTCTCCCCTTCCCGACTCCCTCATCGTTTGCCGCCTCCTCGACGGCCTCACACCCATGTATGAGGCCCGTCGCGTGGCGTTCAATGAGGTCACGCCAGCTTCCCACCCGACTCCGCCTATGTAGCCGCATGGATTCTGAAAACTGAAGCGGAGCTTCTCCGCCAGTCTCCTCCGACGGCTCATGCTGCCCAAGCAAAAGGAGGACGTGGTGCTGGCCGTGGCGGTACTTCGGCGGGACGATCGGGTGGTGGACGTGGCGGGGGGCGCAGTGGAGGACGCGGGGGTAGCAGTGGTTCCAACAGCACCGGCGGCTTCTCCCCGTGTCAGTATCTCATCCGCAACGGCCCCAACAAGGGTAAGCGCTGCCTCCAAACCACCCATGCCACCACCACATGTTTCAAGGCCCTCACTGATGAGTGGCTTGATCGAGGCAACACGGGCACGCCCCCTCGCTGGTCCGCTATCACTCCACCTCCCACTCCCTTTGATGTTCGTACCCTCCCCGCCTATCAGCCCTCCTCTACCTCTCTCCACCACATCCTCGCACAGCACCTCCCTCCACAGATCCTCCAGCAGGTCACGCCCCTCCTTCCGTCCCACAGCCGCAGCAGACTCAGCAGCCGCAGCAGACCAGCAGCCGCAGCCCAGCAGCCGCACAGTCCAGCAGCAGCCGCAGCAGCTCCTGCAGCAGCTCCTCCAGCAGCTGCAACAGTCTCAGCAGCACCAGCAGTCTCAGCAGCACCCTCCCCTCCCTCCGCCTGGAGCTCGGCCTCTCTGCTCCTGCTCCTCTGCGCAGGCCCCCACCGGACCTCCTGGCTTTACCCCATTTCCCTCTCCTGGCTTCATCAACCATGTTAGCCATGCTTCTCCTGCTATTCCTCCAATGTATCCCGAGTCTATTAATGAAACCTCCTTCCAGTACTCCGTGTCTCACCCCACCCCTCCTTCCATTGAGTTTGTCATTGACAGCGGCGCCAGTGTCACAGTCCTTCGTGACGCTGGTGCCCTCACCCCCCTCCCTAACCCCTCCACCATCATTGGAGCCGATTCTACTTTCTCGGTCACCTCCCGCCATACCTCCACTCTTCCCTGCCCCCTCTTCCCCTCAGGTTCAGTAACTGGCTTCCATGTCCCCTCCCTTCGCACTAACCTCGTCTCCCAAGGTGCACTTCAACGGGCCGGGGTCACAACAATCTACCCCGGCCACGCCACCCACTGCGACTGTTTCACTCATCCACGGGTCATTTCATCGTCCGTGTTCCCATGTGTCCTCGCACTCGCATGTACACCCTTCACACTCCCCGTCCGTCAGCCTGTCACACTGCCTCCACCATCCCTCCCCTCCCCCCTCCCTCTTTCCTCCGCAACCTCCCCACCTCCCCTCCCGCCCCTCCTGCTCCCCCCCATCTCAGTGCCATTGTCGTGATCTTACACATCCTGCCATCCTCCTCCACCACCGCCTAGGTCACCCCAACTTTGCCACCCTCCACAAGGCCGTCGCCTCCGGGCTCCTCAATGGCCTTCCCCTCACTCTCCCCCACTCCCTCCCTCCCCGCCCCCCTTGCACCATCTGTGTCCAGAGCAAGCTCAAGCAGCTTCCTCATAAAAGTCACCCTTCTTGCGCCCCAGAGCTCCTGGATCTTGTCCACATGGATCTCTGGGGCCCCAACCCCTCCCCCACCCGTCAAGGGCACCGCTACCTCCTCGTCCTGGTCGATGACCGCTCACGATACACCTCGGTCTCCCTCCTTCGCACGAAGGCCGAGGCACCGGCCTTATCATCGCCTGGGCCGAGCAGGCGCGCACCCACTTCGGTCGTCCCGTTCGCCGCTTCCATTCCGATGGCGGCGGTGAATTCCTCAATCACCATCTCTCTTCCTATTTCTCCACCCATGGTATTCACCACACTTACACCCTCCCTCACTCCCCTCAGCAGAATGGCGTGGCAGAAGCTCGTGTTCGAGAAGTTACAAAGACCGCCAGGTGTCTTCTCGTTCACGCCTCCTGCCCGCCTTCTCTCTGGGGTTATGCTCTTCTCCACGCCGTCCTCCTCACTAACCTGTATCCCCACCCTCTCCTCCCCTCCACCACCCCCACCGAGCTGTGGACGTCAACTAAACCCGACGTCTCCCCCCTGCGCGTCTGGGGTTCCAGGGCGTATGTTCTCATACACCCAGCCGACCGCTCACGCACAGCAGGGAAGCTCGCCTCCAAGAGTCTACCCTGTGTATTCCTTGGTCACAACACCTCCTCCCCTGACTACCTCTTCCTTCATCCCCCCTCAGGTCGCCTCATTCGTAGTCGGGACGTCATCTTTGACGAATCCTCCCCGTACTACACCTCTCCTGCCTCACCTGACCCACTCACCATTCCTCCTCGCCCCTTCATCCCCTCTGACACTGTCCCCCCCCTCCTCCCCCTCTCCCTCTTATTCCCCCACCCCCAGCACCTCCTCCTCCCGAATCTGCTCCCTCCTCATCTTCCTCAGGTGACATCCTTGACCCAGTACTCCCCCCTCTCCCTCTCACTCCGCTTCCGCTCCATCCTCCCCCTTCTCCCCACCTCCCCCCCTCCACCTCCTTCCCCCCTCCTCCCCCACCTCCCCCACCTCCTCCTCCACCCCCCAGGTGTCTTCTCCCCTTGTCCTTCGCCACCGCCCTCATACTCGGTCCATGGATCCCCTCTTTGGTCCGCCCTTAGCCCCTCCCTCCCCTCAGGCAAAGGCACCCGCTCCAGCACCCTCTGCTTCCACCTCCGCACCCGCCGCAGCAGCTCCCGCCGCCGCACCAGTGCCTGCCCCGGTCGCCGCACCCGCAGCGTCAGGATCCGCCGCAGCAGTTGCCCCGGTCAAGCAGCCGTGCAGCCGAGTCGCAGAGTCGCAGTGTCGCAGCCTCCCCCCTCAGCAGCGCAGCAGACTTGCAACACCACCCTCCCTTCCTCCTCCTTTCTCTCCCCTCCTCATCGAAGACTCCCATGGTGAATTTCTTCGCCTCCACCTCTTCTCCAACACCCAAGCAGTCGCCTTCAGCATGACCGGCGCCGGTACTTGTCTTCTCCGGCGCGCCCATCATCTTCGAGCCGGGAGATTATCACGAAGCTATGACATGCCCCGACCACCCTCATTGGGGCAAGGCAGTCCTCAAAGAGAATGAGGCCTTTGTCCGCAACGGCACCTTCATCGACGTACCCCGCCCTCTCAACCACAACGTGGTCAAGGGCAAATGGGTATTTCGGGTCAAGCTCCTCCCTGGCGACGACCCGTCTATAAGGCCCGCTACTGCGCCAAAGGATTCACGCAGCGGTACGGCCATGACTTCCTTGACACCTACTCGCCGACCGCCACTCCCCCTGTCGTCCGCGTGTTCTTGGACTTCGTCGGCCGGCGCGGCATGATCCTGCACTCGATGGATGTCACCACGGCATTTCTCCAAGGTGAACTCCATGAGCGCATCTTCATGGAGCGTCCCGAGGGCTGGCACCTCCCTTTCCCTCCCAACACCGTTTGGGAACTTCGCCGCCCGGTCTACGGCCTCAAGCAAGCTCCTCGGGAATGGCATGCCAAGCTCTCGAGCACTCTCCGTGCTCTTGGTTTTCGCCCTTCCCAGGCTTCCTCCTGCCTCTTCCTGCGCACCTCCCCCTCCCCTTCTACATCCTCGTCTACGTCGACGACATGCTTCTTGCCGCTGACAACGAAGCAGACCTACAACAGGTCAAGGATGAGCTGCAGAAGCGCCTCCTCTGCAAGGACCTGGGGGAGGTCCGCAACTACCTCGGGATGGAGATTTCTCGCGATCGTGCGGCCAGGACCATCTCCCTCTCTCAGGCATTCTACCTCGAGAAGGTCCTTGAACGCTTCGAGATGGCCACGGCCAAACCCGTCTCCACACCCCTCCAAGTCGGCCACCAGCTCTCGCCGACATCCACCCACGGTTCCTCCACCAGTCCTTACGCTGAGCTGGTCGGGTCCCTGATGTACGCCATGATGTGCACTCGCCCCGACCTCGCCTACCCTATCAGTGTCCTGGCGCGCTTTGTCGGCGCTGGCAAACACACTCCCGAGCACTGGCAAGCGGCCAAGCGCGTTCTCCGCTACATCAAAGGCACCAAGGACTATGTCCTCACCTTGGGCGGCCCCACCCCTCCTCAGCTCACTGGCTACAGCGACTCCTCTTGGGCAGATTCTCAGCCCGATCGTCGCAGCTCACAGGGGTATGGTTTCTCCCTCGGGAGTGGCCTCATTTCCTGGCGCTCCACCCGCTCCTCCTCGATCGCTCTCCTCCTCGTGCGAAGCAGAGCTCTACGCCATCACCATGGCGGCCCAGGAGGCGCGGTGGCTCAGCTTCCTCCTCGCTGAGCTGGATGCTCCCCAGCCCTGTCCCACCATCTGGTGCGACAATGCCAGTACTATCCACCTCACAAAGGAAGCCGTTTTCCATGGTCGCTCCAAACACATCGCGCTCCGACACTACTTCGTTCGTGAGCTCGTCCAGGCTGGACACCTCACCGTGCGCAAGATTGACTCTTCAGCCAACCTTGCCGACATCTTCACCAAGGCCCTCCCTCGTCGTCCCCATGCGGCTCTCCTTCGCCTTCTGGGTCTTGCCCCTCCCTCACAGGGGACTACCTGATTCAGGGGTTGCTTCTCCTCCCCTTCCCAAGACTTATGGCACTCTGTAGGCTAAGGGGTTGTGTTAGACTATTCTCCCTTCATTCTATTAGCCTACATCGTTTCATTGTCTTAGGAACTTATAAGCGCCCCACTAGGGTGTATACACCCAAGTTGGGGGTTGGGTTCCCAACCTTGTTGGGTTCCCAAATTGGTTGGGCTCCCAATTATTGGAACCCCCAATAATCCCAACCAAGATTATTGGACCCACCAATAATCTTGGCTAGGATTATTGGACCCCCAATAAGTTGGCCAACTCAACTTATTGGGGTCACCAATAATCGTGGTCACCTCCCAACCAAACCCCCCCCCCCCCCCCCTCCCTCCTACTCCTCACCTATGTATACCCACTCCTTTCCTAATACAATCATCACTTCAGATTCTCACAGAAATGGCGCACATGAAGGAGAAATGGCGCACATGAAGGAGAAATGGCGCACATGAAGGAGAAATGGTGCACATGAAGGAGAGATGGCGCACATGAAGGAGAAATGGCGCACATGAAGGAGAGATGGCGCACATGAAGGAGAAATGGCGCACAATGAAGGAGAAATGGCGCACATGAAGGAGAAATGGCGCACATGAAGGAGAAATGGCGCACATGAAGGAGAAATGGCGCACATGAAGGAGAAATGGCGCACATGAAGGAGAAATGGCGCACATGAAGGAGAAATGGCGCACATGAAGGAGAAATGGCGCACATGAAGGAGAAATGGCGCACATGAAGGAGAAATGGCGCACATGAAGGAGAAATGGCGCACATGAAGGAGAAATGGCGCACATGAAGGAGAAATGGCGCACATGAAGGAGAAATGGCGCACATGAAGGAGAAATGGCGCACATGAAGGGCAAAAGGCGCACAGGAAGGGAAATGGCGCACATGAAGGAGAAATGGCGCACATGAAGGGGCAAAAGGCGCACATGAAGGGGGAAAAGGCGCACAGGAAGGGGAAATGGCGCACATGAAGGGGGAAAAGGCGCGCAGGAAGGGGAAATGGCGCACATGAAGGGGGAAAAGGCGCACAGGGAGGGAAATGGCGCACATGAAGCGGGAAAAAGGCGCACAGGGAGGGGAAATGGCGCCCATGAAGGGGGAAAGGGCGCATAGCAACGGAACCAACCCAGGGTAGGTATCATCTCTGATGCCTCCACTCCTCTCCCTCCCATGATCCCATCAGGACTCGCACGTGTGAAGGCAAGCCCGGTTCACTTGGGCATGAGGCCATTGACGCCCACACCTTTGCTGAATGGGTAAGGCTCATGGTCGAAAAAGTTTATGAAGTTTGCTGGATCAAGTATCGTTTCTTGATTACTGTTTTAGGGTGATTCCTGCATATCTATGGGAGATACCTTAGCATTCTAGGTAACGCAAATACAATTGCCACCATTGTCTGATTCCAACACCATAAGACCTTCAGGTCGAATCAGGGCTGCTTCATACCGACTGTTTGCGGCCCATTGCGTGCTGTGGCTCCGTGTGATAGCTAATGACAGAATTCTGACATCTGCCTGCCTGCTGTGACTGTGCACATCCATGGCATGGCAGGGAGTGGACTACCTGAAATACGACAACTGCTACAACGATGGAACCCCAAACAAGTTGCGGTACGTCGTGTCAACATCACTCGTGTCGGCATCACTTGTGTCGGCATCACTTGTGTTGTGTTGGCATCACCGTATTGGCGTCACTCGTGTGGGCCTCACGTTCGCTTTGAGGCATCACAGATTCCATCGCTTTCCTCCCCTCTCCCATCGACCTGTCACGATGGATTGCCTTTCTTCCCGTCTTCCGACTGCTTCTGTCCGTTTTCCCTCGTTCGTTTGTTCATTCTTTTAGGGTGCATCCCACTCGTTCATTTGCCGTTCGTTCAGTGCGTTTCAGTATGGTGCCTCACTGTCAAAAACGGTTTGCGTGCTTCACCGTCACCACTCACGACCATAGCGCACCAAACTGAATCGTCCCTCTGCCCCCCACTCCCCCCCTCCCCCTTAACTCATCCTCCTCTGACGCCTAAATGCACCCTCAGCTACACAGTCATGCGCAATGCACTGGAGGCCACAGGGAGGGACATCTTCTTCTCCATGTGTGAATGGTGAGCTGAGAGCATCCTGTGGTGAGGTCAGAACATCCCATCTTAGAATGCACCATGTGCGAATGGTGAGCTGAGAGCATCCTGTGGTGAGGTCAGAACAGAACATCCCATCTTAGAATGCACCATGTGCGAATGGTGAGCTGAGAGCATCCTGTGGTGAGGTCAGAACATCCCATCTTAGAATGCACCATGTGCGAATGGTGAGCTGAGAGCATCCTGTGGTGAGGTCAGAACATCCCATCTTAGAATGCACCATGTGCGAATGATGAGCTGAGAGCATCCTGTGGTGAGGTCAGAACATCCCATCTTAGAATGCACCATGTGCGAATGATGAGCTGAGAGCATCCTGTGGTGAGCTCAGAACATCCCATCTTAGAATGCACCATGTGCGAATGGTGAGCTGAGAGCATCCTGGTGAGCTCAGAACATCCCATCTTAGAATGCACCATGTGCGAATGGTGAGCTGAGAGCATCCTGTGGTGAGCTGAGTGGATCCCAACTTTGCTCGAATGCAAACAAACGCATTTGCGGTGTGTCCTAGATCCCACCCTGCTACTCTGTTCTGCTGGCCACTTTCATGCCACTGTAGCTACCAATGGTGTCTTGGATTGGCGTAGGACTAAGCAGACAATAGTCAAGAGCGCATGGTGACCTGCGCTGCCTTGATCTCTGATCTGATCATGACACGTGTCGGCCTGCCTTGTCATGCCATCTGTCGGCCTCCCTTGGCATGCATGCCACGTGTTGGCCTGCCTTGTCTTGCCACGTCTTGCCTGCCCATCCTGCCACGTGTGCTACTCCATGCAGGGGACAGGATGACCCTGCTCTGTGGGCGTATGACGTGGCAGACTCCTGGCGGACCACCGTTGACATTGGGGACACGTGGAGGAGGTGAGAAGGGACACGTGGAGGAGAGGAAGGACACTTGGTGAAGGGGAAGAAGGACACGTGGAGAAGGGGAGGAAGGACACGTGGAGAAGGGGAGGAATGACACGTGGAGAAGGGGAAGAAGGGCACGTGGCGAAGGGGTAGAAAGTGGCGTGGATGAGGAGAGGGGAGGGAGAAGAAATTGAGAAGACGGGTGAGCGGACGGAGGAGAAAGGAATGGCAAGGAGGGGAGAGGAAGAGGGAAGCGGAGCAAGAGGATTGAAGCTATTGGGGAAGGGGAGGGGAAGGAAGGGATGCGAAGTCATCTCCCTGCCTGTGTATATATGCAACTTGTTTCGAGGCGTCTCAAAATTGCGCGTGATAGGAGTCTAGTTTTGAGGAGTCTCAAAAGTGCGTGATAGGAGTCTAGTTTTGAGGCACCTCAAAACTAGGAAGGGATGGGAAGTCATCTCCCTTCCCGTGTATAAGCAACTGAGGTCATTTTTTATTTGACTCAACGTAAAAACTCGCCTCGAGAGGAAGGGAGAGATGAGAAGAAGTTTCCCTACTACCTATGTCCATGCGATGTCAATTCTTCCGAACTTCACCTCTTTATCTACGTGCATGTACCCTGCTCCCTCCCTGCATGCATGGCACATGGCACATGGCACACGGCATATGACTCATGGCACGTGGCACGTGGCATGTGGCACATGGCACATGGCACATGGCGGCACATGGCACATGGCATGTGGCACATCCAGCATGATTCGGATTGCAGACCTTAACAACAAGTGGGCCAAGTACGCCAAGCCAGGCGGGTGGAATGGTGAGTGGTGCCCCCAACACACGAGGTGCCCAACACACGAGGTGCCCAACACACGAGGTGCCAACACGAGGTGCCCAACACACGAGGTGCCCAACACACGAGGTGCCCAACACACGAGGTGCCCAACACACGAGGTGCCCAACACACGAGGTGCCCAACACACGAGGTGCCCAACACACGAGGTGCCCAACACACGAGGTGCCCACACGAGTGCCCCACACGAGGTGCCCAACACACGAGGTGCCCAACACACGAGGTGCCCAACACACGAGGTGCCCAACACACGAGGTGCCCAACACACGAGGTGCCCAACACACGAGGTGCCCAACACACGAGTGCCCAACACACGAGGTGCCCAACACACGAGGTGCCCAACACACGAGGTGCCCAACACACGAGGTGCCCAACACACGAGGTGCCCAACACACGAGGTGCCCCAACACACGAGGTGCCCAACACACGAGGTGCCCAACACACGAGGTGCCCAACACACGAGGTGCCCAACACACGAGGTGCCCAACACACGAGGTGCCCAACACACGAGGTGCCCCACACCCACACACGAGGTGCCCAACACACGAGGTGCCCAACACACGAGGTGCCCAACACGAGGTGCCCAACACACGAGGTGCCCAACACACGAGGTGCCCAACACACGAGGTGCCCAACACACGAGGTGCCCAACACACGAGGTGCCCAACACACGAGGTGCCCAACACACGAGGTGCCCAACACACGAGGTGCCCAACACACGAGGTGCCCAACACACGAGGTGCCCAACACACGAGGTGCCCAACACACGAGGTGCCCAACACACGAGGTGCCCAACACACGAGGTCCCAACACACGAGGTGCCCAACACACGAGTGCCCAACACACGAGGTGCCCAACACACGAGGTGCCCAACACACGAGGTGCCCAACACACGAGGTGCCCAACACACGAGGTGCCCAACACACGAGGTGCCCAACACACGAGGTGCCCAACACACGAGGTGCCCAACACACGAGGTGCCCAACACACGAGGTGCCCAACACACGAGGTGCCCAACACACGAGGTGCCCAACACACGAGGTGCCCAACACACGAGGTGCCCAACACACGAGGTGCCCAACACACGAGGTGCCCAACACACGAGGTGCCCAACACACGAGGTGCCCAACACACGAGGTGCCCAACAACACGAGGTGCCCAACACACGAGGTGCCCAACACACGAGGTGCCCAACACAACACACGAGGTGCCCAACACACGAGGTGCCCAACACACGAGGTGCCCAACACACGAGGTGCCCAACACACGAGGTGCCCAACACACGAGGTGCCCAACACACGAGGTGCCCAACACACGAGGTGCCCAACACACGAGGTGCCCAACACACGAGGTGCCCAACACACGAGGTGCCCAACACACGAGGTGCCCAACACACGAGGTGCCCAACACACGAGGTGCCCAACACACGAGGTGCCCAACACACGAGGTGCCCAACACACGAGGTGCCCAACACACGAGGTGCCCAACACACGAGGTGCCCAACACACGAGGTGCCCAACACACGAGGTGCCCAACACACGAGGTGCCCAACACACGAGGTGCCCAACACACGAGGTGCCCAACACACGAGGTGCCCAACACACGAGGTGCCCAACACACGAGGTGCCCAACACACGAGGTGCCCAACACACGAGGTGCCCAACACACGAGGTGCCCAACACACGAGGTGCCCAACACACGAGGTGCCCCAACACACGAGGTGCCCAACACACGAGGTGCCCAACACACGAGGTGCCCAACACACGAGGTGCCCAACACACGAGGTGCCCAACACACGAGGTGCCCAACACATGAGGTGCCCAATGTTGGCATTGGTTCGCCAACCACTAGGGCGACCTAGGGGTGGCGAGCAGAATCGTGGGAGGAATTTCAGGCGGTGGGAACGGAAGAAAAGTCAATTGAAAAAATAGCGGTGATTGAGGAATATTGGTGGGAATTCGGAAGAAGTGACGGTGCGACTGTGCGACGGTGGTGCACCAAGGAAGAACGGTGGAAATAGGATGACGGGAGATGAAGAAGAAGAAGGGGAAGGAGTGGGAAGGAAGGTGTGAAGAACATGTGTTGTGGAGTTACAGGAGGAGTTGTGGAAGAAAATGGGATTTTGGACGGTGTGCGTTCAGTGGCACCGAACTTGGGGTCGGTGTCGGTGTTGAAACACGCGGACCGCGTTCCGATGTGATTGCGTGTGCGACCTGAAACGAAACGAGGCGCGCTCGTTAGTCAAAGCGCCCTTGGTGGTTACGAGCCGCGAATTGGCATTCTGGTTGACTATAAAAGTGTTTATCTGTTTGTTATTTAAAAATAAAGTTGAGTTCTGAAACTTGCAGTACATAATCACGACTTCTAGCAAACGTGAGGATAACGTTGGAATCGTGTCGACGAGGAGATTATCATAGAGCCCAGTGCTTCTATATAATCCTAGTGCAAGGAGCCCTTGCAAGGCGAAATCACATCGGCCGGAGGCGATGGGCGAGTTGGCGTGTCGGAGTCCGAGCGCTCAGTGCGACTGCGTTTTGTAGCCGTAGGCGAGGAGTCCTTGCTACGAGCTAACGGTAGGACGTTGGCATCAGTCACGAGCAAGGTTGGCTTGCTGTGAGCACGTTTGACATTTCGTTGCCTGGGAGCTGTAGTTTCGCGCGGAAGCTATAGCCGACTCAGACCCAACACAAGGTGCCCAACACACGAGGTGCCCGACACACAAGGTTCCCGACACACGTAGTCGCTTGTGAGGCACTCAATCGAGCCAACAGCTAGTCAGCCACGCACGTCAAGGCAGGCGGGTGGAACGGCGCTTATCAGTGGGTGATTTGAAGAAGCAGGGGCTAAAATCTTTGAGGGAAGGGTAAAAGCTAGAGTTTGGAAGGGTAAAGGTGGCACCATGGCTCCGTGGCACCATTGCGATCAAGCAGTGAAAATGCTCCAAGGTCAATCAATGCTTGCTCATCGGCCCGCATCATCCTTCAACCAGTCATGCTGCTTGCAAAAGTATGCCATGGCACAAGCACCGTGCTGCCCCCCCCCCCCTTCCCCTCTGTCCAACACCCTCCACACCCACTTTTTGATTGTCCACTCAGATCACACTCTGAGTTGCTGCAGGTGGGGGATGGGGACATGTATAAGTAGGGAGCACCAAGTGCACTGCTCACGAGTTCAGGTGTCCAATCTCTTTCCCCAAACCCTCCACTCCGCCCCCCTTCCCCCCACACTTGAACCTCCCCCTCACAGACCCCGACATGCTGCAGGTGGGGAATGGAATCATGTGAAACTGGGGAGTACCGACCGAGTGCACTGCTCAAGAGCTCAGGTGTCCAATCTCTTTCCCCGAACCCTCCACTCTGCAAACCTTCACCCCCACACACTTGACCCTCCCCCTCACAGACCCCAACATGCTGCAGGTGGGGAATGGGGGACATATGAAAACGGGGAGTGTCGAGTGCACTACTCAAGAGCTCAGGTGTCCAATCTCTTTCCCCGAACTCTTGTCTCCTGATAACCGCCCCCCCTCGCAGACCCCGACATGCTGCAGGTGGGGAATGGCGGCATGAGAGAGTCGGAGTACCGCGTGCACTTCAGCCTCTGGGCCATCATGAAGGTGGGCATGGGTGCTTGCAGGTGGGCATGGGTGCATGGAGGTGGGCATGGGTGCATGGAGGTGGGCATGGGTGCATGGAGGTGGGCATGGGTGCATGGAGGTGGGCATGGGTGCATGGAGGTGGGCATGGATGCATGGAGGTGGGCATGGGTGCATGGAGGTGGGCATGGGTGCATGGAGGTGGGCATGGGTGCATGGAGGTGGGCATGGATGCATGGAGGTGGGCATGGGTGCATGGAGGTGGGCATGGGTGCATGCATGGAGATGGCCCTTGAGACGTCACAAAAGGTATGAGAGAGTGTCGCGTGCATTCCAGTCTCTGGGCCATCATGAAAGTGAGGTGAGCATGGAAAGAGGACGGGCCTCTTTTACGCTTTCGATCTGCGATGGTGCATATCTACGGTGTGCATGCCATGCGTGTAGGAGTGTATTCGTTAGGTGCCTCAAAAGGGATGCTTTCGATTCGCAATGGTGCGTATGTACGATGTGCTATTTCTGGTGCCTAAAAAATAGACTCCTTTTGAGGCGCCTCAAAACTGATGCTTTCGATTCGCAATGGTGCGTATGTACGATGTGCTTTTTCTGGCGCCTAAAAAATAGACTCCTTTTGAGGCGCCTCAAAACTGATGCTTTCGATTCGCAATGGTGCGTATGTACGATGTGCTTTTTCTGGCGCCTAAGAAATAGACTCCTTTTGAGGCGCCTCAAAACTGATGCTTTTGATTCGCAATGGTGCGTATGTACGATGTGCTTTTTCTGGCGCCTAAGAAATAGACTCCTTTTGAGGCGCCTCAAAACTGATGCTTTCGATTCGCAATGGTGCGTATGTACGATGTGCTTTTTATGGCGCCTAAAAATTAGACTCCTTTTGAGGCGCCTCAAAACTGACCGTCTCAAGATCATTAGACCTTTTAGGGTAAATTATATCAAGGTCAGCAACGAGAGTAACAACACACTCTGTAATGAGTCTGCTTTTGACTCCACTCAAACATTTTTGCGAGCGACGTAAATTCCAGAAAGGTCGGCACTGAGATAATCTTATCAACACAGTTGTGAAGTAAATTTCCAACCGGAACACTCACTTCCCTCCGCACCCATCCTGCCCGCCCACCCCATCTACATCCTTCGGAGGGAAGAGCAATCTCGGATCACTCATCCACTACCGAAGCACTCATTTCCTACTGAAGGGAAGTGACATCATTCTAGGGAATGAGTGATTTGGAGGGATTTGGAGGGATTTGGAGGGATTTGAGACCAGTAAATTTCCACCCGAAGCACTCATTTCCCTCTACACCCGTCCTCAACCCCCCCCCCCCCTCCCCTCCCCCACCCTCAACATCCTTTCACTAGGCGCCTCTCCTGATTGGCTGCGACCTCTCCTCGTGTATCAAATGCAACACTGCACATTTCTTACTGAAAGGAATGACATCATTCTAGGGAAGGAGTGACTCAGAGAAAAGTGAGACCTTTAATGAGTGAGTCGGAGAAAAGTGAGACCTTTAATGAGTGAGTCGGAGAAAAGTGAGACCTTTAATGAGTGAGTCGGAGAAAAGTGAGACCTTTAATGAGTGAGTCAGTAAATTTCCAACCGAAGCACTCACTTCCCTCCTCAACCGTCCTTCCCTCCCCCTCCCCCCCTCTTCCCTCCACCTCCTTTCACCAGGCGCCTCTCTTGATTGGCTGCGACCTCTCTCGTGTATCAAATGCGACACTGCGCATTCTGGGGAATGATGAAGTCATTGCTGTTAACCAAGGTGTGCGTTCGTGCCAGGTGTGTGCTCGTGCCAGGTGTGTGCTGGAGCCAGGTGTGTGCTCGTGCCAGGTGTGTGCTCGTGCCAGGTGTGTGCTCGTGCCAGGTGTGTGCTCGTGCCAGGTGTGTCCTCGTGCCAGGTGTGTGCTCGTGCCAGGTGTGTGCTCGTGCCAGGTGTGTGCTGGAGCCAGGTGTGTGCTCGTGCCAGGTGTGTGCTGGAGCCAGGTGTGTGCTCGTGCCAGGTGTGTGCTCGTGCCAGGTGTGTGCTGGAGCCAGGTGTGTGCTCGTGCCAGGTGTGTGCTCGTGCCAGGTGTGTGCTCGTGCCAGGTGTGTGCTCGTGCCAGGTGTGTGCTCGTGCCAGGTGTGTGCTCGTGCCAGGTGTGTGCTGGAGCCAGGTGTGTGCTCGTGCCAGGTGTGTGCTCGTGCCAGGTGTGTGCTCGTGCCAGGTGTGTGCTGGAGCCAGGTGTGTGCTCGTGCCAGGTGTGTGCTGGAGCCAGGTGTGTGCTCGTGCCAGGTGTGTGCTCGTGCCAGGTGTGTGCTGGAGCCAGGTGTGTGCTCGTGCCAGGTGTGTGCTCGTGCCAGGTGTGTGCTCGTGCCAGGTGTGTGCTCGTGCCAGGTGTGTCCTCGTGCCAGGTGTGTGCTCGTGCCAGGTGTGTGCTCGTGCCAGGTGTGTGCTGGAGCCAGGTGTGTGCTCGTGCCAGGTGTGTGCTGGAGCCAGGTGTGTGCTCGTGCCAGGTGTGTGCTCGTGCCAGGTGTGTGCTGGAGCCAGGTGTGTGCTCGTGCCAGGTGTGTGCTCGTGCCAGGTGTGTGCTCGTGCCAGGTGTGTGCTCGTGCCAGGTGTGTGCTCGTGCCAGGTGTGTGCTCGTGCCAGGTGTGTGCTGGAGCCAGGTGTGTGCTCGTGCCAGGTGTGTGCTCGTGCCAGGTGTGTGCTCGTGCCAGGTGTGTGCTGGAGCCAGGTGTGTGCTCGTGCCAGGTGTGTGCTGGAGCCAGGTGTGTGCTCGTGCCAGGTGTGTGCTCGTGCCAGGTGTGTGCTGGAGCCAGGTGTGTGCTCGTGCCAGGTGTGCGTTCGTGCCAGGTGTGTGCTCGTGCCAGGTGTGTGCTGGAGCCAGGTGTGTGCTCGTGCCAGGTGTGTGCTCGTGCCAGGTGTGTGCTCGTGCCAGGTGTGTGCTCGTGCCAGGTGTGTGCTCGTGCCAGGTGTGTGCTCGTGCCAGGTGTGTGCTCGTGCCAGGTGTGTGCTCGTGCCAGGTGTGTGCTGGAGCCAGGTGTGTGCTCGTGCCAGGTGTGTGCTGGCAGGTGGGGAGCCAGGTGTGTGCTCGTGCCAGGTGTGTGCTCGTGCCAGGTGTGTGCTGGAGCCAGGTGTGTGCTCGTGCCAGGTGTGTGCTCGTGCCAGGTGTGTGCTCGTGCCAGGTATGTGCTCGTGCCAGGTGTGTGCTCGTGCCAGGTGTGTGCTCGTGCCAGGTGTGTGCTCGTGCCAGGTGTGTGCTCGTGCCAGGTGTGTGCTCGTGCCAGGTGTGTGCTCGTGCCAAGTCTGTGCTCCTGCCAGGTGTGTGCTCCTGCCAGGTGCGTGCTGGAGCCAGGTGTGTGCTCGTGCCAGGTGTGTGCTCGTGATTGGTGTACTTGCTCACACGTGATTGGTGTATTTGCTCACACGTGATTGGTGTATTTGCTCACACGTGGCACATTACGATTGGTGCAGACCGGCTGGGAGTGCAGGCAAGGAAGGTGCAAGTCTCTGAGGACAGCCTCATAGAGGTGAGAGAGGTCAGATGGGCCCTTGCTCGCCTAGGGTGAGGGAGGTCAGATGGGCCCTTGCTCGCCTAGGGTGAGTGAGGTCAGATGGGCCCTTGTTCGCCCAAGGTGAGTGAGTTGGCTGGAATAGGGACTACCCCTCTCTTGGTGGGAGGAGAGTACAGTGGGGGGAGGTGAGTGCAGTGGGGGGAGGTGAGTGCAGTGAGGGGAGGTGAGTGCAGTGGGGGGAGGTGAGTGCAGTGGGGGGAGGTGAGTGCAGTGGGGGGGAGGTGAGTGGGCAGAAGTAGACCTTTTCACGCGAACCATGCATTCTGTGTCCACTTGGTAAGCTGACTCTGATGATGCTGCATGTGCTTGCAAGCGAGCTGGTCCTTGTGGCACTTCACAGCAACTACCTCATGGGGCAGCACTAATTCTGCGACGCTTATTCAGCAGTGTTGATTCAGCACTGCTTTATTCAGAGCAGAGAGCCATCCCTCTTCGTTGCCTCATTTGCAGACCGAAGCCATTTTAGCTACGTGAATACAGCGTGCTCCTAAAGGCCATCCCTTTTCGTTTCTGTGTGTGCCTCTCCCTTCCCCATGCGGCCTGTCCTTGGAACCTGCAGGTTTGGTCCGGACCTCTGTCTGAGGGTCGGTGGGTGGTAGCCCTGGTGAATCGCAGCCCAATAAGCGCGAAGGTGACTGCCCGCTGGAAAGCGATTGGCCTGAATCCGGTGCAGCCGATGTATGCACGCGACCTTTGGAAGGTACGGGTGAACCTCGAACCCATGGCTTTGTGAACTTCTCTTGACAGGTGCTTTAATGTGAAAGCTAGTCGGAAAGTGATTGGCCTGAATCCGGTGCAGCCGATGCATGCACGCGGCCTCTGGAAGGTAGTTGTGTTAACTAGTCTTTTGCCCCCCTTTCCTCCCTCTTACCACCCCCCCCCCCCCCTTTCCTCCCCCCCCCCCTTTCCCTCCCTCATCCCAACCCTCTTCCTCACACTTACGCACATGCGAGCACATGCACATGCACATGCACATGCATATCCACTGTCACATGTCTCCATCCCGTCCTGTGGTGCTGCTACCATGGTGTCACCTTGTTTGGTCACCCCCTGTGTTGAAGGCAACCATGCGAGCACATGCACATGCACATGCATATCCAGTGTCACATGTCTCCATCCCGTCCAGTGATGCTGCTACTATGGTGTCACCCTGCGTTTCTCCCCCTCTTGTGCAGAAGGCAACCATGGACAAGGTCATCTCAGGGGCGCTGAGTGCTCGAGTTCCAAGTCACGATGTGAGGCTGTTCCTCGTCTGGCCCGCCACTGAGACTCTGTAAGAGTGGCTGTGTCTCCACCCTGCTATGTGTCCCTCTTGTGCAGAAGGCAACCATGGACAAGGTCATCTCAGGGGAACTGAGCATTCGAGTTCCAAGCCACGATGTGAGGCTGTTCCTCATCTGGCCCGCCACGGAGACTTCGTCCAGCTGACCTTACAGACCAGTCCAACAATGGCACGTGCATCAGCAATAAGCCTTGGGAGATGTAAAGGTCTGGATACATTTTTAATTATGACATTGAAATGCACTTGGTGGAGATCATGTCGTACCATACCATACTCTCTACTGGTCGCATCGTTGTTTTTGTCCAACATAACAGCTTGCCTGTTGCATGAACCTAAGCTGTGGGAAGGAGTGATAATGAAATTTGCACCAGCGAGTTATTTGCGATAGCACATGGATGTATATACACGTGAGAGCAAATCCTTGGGAGTCTTCTTATGTCGCGGTTGTCTATTGTTGTGATATATTTCATACTTAGCATTTTTGTAAGTCGTTTATCGATAGTGTTGAATCCTACCGTAGAAGATTGTTGTGATAAATGAAGTTTTGCATTCCTGCATGTTCCGTTTTCAGTGTAGTTAGCAGTATCGAGTTTCTCAGTAAGTAATCATGCCCGAGTGCTGATGTCGGCAAAGCATCGTGGGTCTCGGGATGACGCCAGCATACCGCGTCAGTTACGTGAATAGGCGTAACGAGTCGTTTCAGTCACGCGAACAGTCACGACCCTATAGAATGACGAATAGGTCGCATAGCGCGATAGTGACGAACAGATACATTAGCAAACAGGTACTTTCCCTAGAGCTATACATTCTTGTAATGCCTTTCTATTATTAACCTTGACTTTCCACAGAATTATGTGCTCACGTTATTCAACTTTGATTACTCACAAGTTCACGTACTCATGTTATTCAACCTTGACCTTTACATTTTACAAGACTTCCGCTGTCTTACTAGTCTATCATTCCAGCAAAGATCCTTGGTGAAGTACTCGTGTTAGCAGATTTTATACTTAGTCTACTACAAACATCAGACGATTTATTTCAAAGATAAGTCCCTAGGATGACGTCAGCAAATAGCGCTCGTCATAGGACAGTCGTTTCAGTCACGCGAATAGTCGCACCTCTTCATTATCATCTAGGGCGCATAGCGCGATAGTGATGAGCAGGTACATTAGCGAACAGGTAATTTCCTAGAGCTATAAGTCTTTGTTCTGTCCTTTTATTATTAACCTTGAGATTTCAACTTTGAGAACTTTGAAACTTAACTTCTGCACAAATATATACTCAGGTTCATTCTTACAAGACTTCCGTTGTCTTACTAGTCTACCATTCCAGTAAAGATCCTAGGCTAACACTTGAGGTTTTCCAAGTGTTCGTTTTTGCAGGTTCTATACTTAGTCTTCTGCAACACCTGTCAAAATATTATATGGTATGAGAGCTATCTGGAATTAAGACTATTGTAAACAATGACGGGTTCATTACCAGCATCGTCTGCCGGATCAACTTCCGGGACTACTGGAGTACATGTCTCCACGACCGCCACTGGTCTCTCAGCCTCTGGACCATTTTCACCGGCTTATGCGCATATCGGTATGCAGCAGCAGCAGCAGAATCCGTCTTCTGTCAGCACTCCAGGAATGTCATCAACTGCCCCTGCAGCACAACAACAACTAACACAGACAACAGCACAGCAACAAGCATCAGCACAACCACCGTTTTCAACACAGTCAATATCGTCAGCGTTCAGTGGAATGAGCCTTGACGGCTCGAGTTACATGCGTGGAGCCTCAGCTCCAAGTACTGGTTCATTCGCTTTCTCACCTTTTGTGCAGCAGCAGCAGTCACAACAGCAGCAGCATCCCTTTTATATATTTGGGCGATCTCCTGCTCAGCAACAGCATCAACAGCCACAGCAACAGCAACAACAACAACAACAATTTCAGCAACAGCAACGGCAACAGCAACTGCCTTAACAACCGGGTGCTATTTTTCAACCACCAAATTTACTGAACAGCACACAAATAAAAACCACTATACCTTTTAGCGAAGTCGACTTCTACTCCTGGAGCTTTGAGTTTGAGCTTCTGGCGCAGTCCGGTGGGCTATGGCCGTTCTTCACCGGCGAGTTCACGTATCCTGTCGTGGGAACACAACTGGAGCAGCAGAGTTTCTTGCACGCCTCTCTCGGGGCGTATACAGTTCTTGTTCGAAACCTGTCGCCGAAGGAGCAACTCGGCGTCCGATATTTTCACTCAAGCTTTACACCAGCTGAAACTGCATGGAACCACTTGAAGGGGGTATACATGGCAAAGGATACCATAACAGTGAGTAAAATACTTTCGCAACAGACAAGTGTGCAGATGATGACAAACGAGAACGTCATGGATTACGTCAATCGCGTCCTTACACTACGTGATCAACTGAAGAAAAGCGGGGGATACTTCCCTCGTGAGATGTATCTCACGGTCCTTCTTGCTGGCCTTGGACCCGAATGGTGACAGACGCGCGCCTTTCTGCGCATGAACCCAAACCTCTCCGAAGCTGAAATTTTGTCGTATCTTCAAGCGGAGCAGCAAGATCTGGACCTGCAGTCACAACGAAATCAGAAGAAGGGACTACACTTGAGTTTTTACTCAAATCTAGAAGCGCAACATCGTCATCCCCTGAAATATCCTTTCTGCCATTTCTGCAAGAAACCAGGACACACTTACCAGAATTGTTGCAGTCGACATCAAAACCGACGCAGCACTTCACAGCCTTATCATCGCTCGCAGCAGTTACCGAAGCCACATTAGCCCACGCAGCAGTCGACGGCCCAAATGCAGCAGATGCCGAAAACGCCGCAGAATCCGTCTGCGTCACAGCATCGTCCTCCGGTTTTTGCATCTGCAACATCAGGGAAAGGGGTCTTTGGATGCTTCACGACAGTTGATGTTTCAGAAACAGATTTCGAGACACGACTTGAAGAAACCACAAGTGCTGAAGGCATTCCTTTACCTCAAGTTTACGCTAACCTTGCTTAAATAATTTCAGGACCGAATACTTGGTATCTCGACAGCTGCTGCGGTTGGCACATGTGCTCCGCAGAAACAAGCTTCATCACCAACCAGCGTCCACTTCGTCGTCCGATACCTGTCACAGTCGCAAACGGACAAACTATTATGGCACGTTCTGTTGGGAGTGTAATGCTCGAATCTATCGACACGGGATACTCACTACATGTTACCAATGTTCTTATCGTCGCTGGACTTGGATTCAATCTCCTTTCCATGGCTCAGCTCCTGGCACACAAGATCCGCACACAGGGCAATTGTGAAACGATGGATCAGGAGCTCTGGCACAGTTCAACGAATACTTACCTTGGTCGTGCCGCCACTCAACATGGCGTGTCCGTTCTTCAGTTCGCAGCACAGGGAACTTCTGGCGATTCTGAACGCGTCCTTGCACTTGGTCCTTGGGATCATCCAGAAGAAACAGATTATCAACACGTGGATATTGACTTTCGAGCAACTACTGTACCAACGGCTTCTCGAACTGCAGCTGCCGTAGTTACCTCGTTGGATACCTGGGAGTTCAATACCGCCGATGAAAGCGCCACCGCGTGGCGAACGTTTTATAATACCCGTGCAGCCTTCCAAGGAACTCAAGCACCACTTTGGGGAGAAATTAGTGGACTTGCCGCTGATGAACCTGACGTCGTTAAAGAAGTCGAAAAGGAAGAAGTCGCCGAGCAGCCGTGTTCAACAGTAGCTGTCACCGAAACACCTGCCACAACATCAACAGAAGCAGTATCAGAAGTTGTAATCGCAACTGCAGCACCTTCAAATGTTCCATTACCCCTTACACGTTTTGTTGAAGGTGACGTTGACCGATCACCAACGCTATCTCCTTATATCATTTCTTCTTTTTATACCAACACCGATTTTTACCTGCGACCATGAGGACACAAAGCCCAAGAAGATATCTGGCATCAACGGTTAGGACATCCATCGCAGGGGATTCTTAATCATTCAATACGAGCAGCAGTTCTGGATAAAAATAGTCTTCTATTACCTGACGGCACGAAGATGAAGCCGCAGTCCCGTCCCACGGTTTGCACCACTTGTCCAGTTGCCAACCGATCGTTGTAAACTGATGCAGAAAGTCTACAGCGACATATTAAACTTACCTGAAGCAGGACCTAAAGACGAGAAGTACGTGATAACATTCATCGAAGCATCTACACGCTACGTCTGGACAGCAAACCTTCCCGCTCGTTATCTCGCTCACTCCGTCTTCGTCGCGTGGCTCGCTGTCGCTGAACGAGAGTCAGACGTGAAACTGCAAGAATTTCAGAGTGATGGTGCAGGGGAGTACACCAGCAACCCTTTCACAGAATATCTTCAGACACTCGGCAAGAAACGGAAGTAGGCACTGCCACATGCACATCAACAGATGGGGGGTACCAGAAAGGATGAACAAAACTCTGCAGGAGAAGATGCGTGCTCTGCTAACGCAGGCAGCCTGTGAGAGTACGACACCGTTACACCAATTTCCCCTTTTCCATATTTCATTTCTATTTCATTCCTCTTTCACTCCTGATTCATTTGGTCTTTATCTCATCTCATTTGGTTTCCTATTCCTCATTTTCCATTATCCTTGGGTTTATCCTATTATTATGATTATATCACCGACCAGGCTCGGGATGTACTGGCGCGCTATATCTAGCGTAATCCTGCCGTAATCCCTTATAGCCAATAGCCTCGCGTGGCTATACGCAGGGTGATTCTATTTCTAGAAGGGTCTATTCCCTTTGGATAGGATAAACCTGGTTACCTGATGTATTCTGGAAGTATAAAAGCACCTTGTACTGATTGATAGGGCAACATTGAGCAAACCTTTCCTCGGGACATTCGATCCTGTGACACTTGGTTATCAGAGCCAAGGTTTCAGCTCAACGCTTAACCGCTGGGCCCCCAGGAGCACGCGGAGGATGGAGTCGAAACTTCAATTCCTGTAAGTACAATGCACTCTCATTTACGTTTCGACTCACCTCTCGCAGTTGCACCTGGGGTCCCCTTCGAAGGCGAGATGCCTCGCCAACCGTTCGATGGACTGCATCGACGGTGCCGAGTTTTCGCGAGGGCAAACGGCCTCGACCTGGCGAGCGCGTCAGTTCCGGCGGAACACTCCCTGCGACATTCGGGGAAGTTCGCAGTTCGCGACAACAGTTGGAGTTGCGCGGAACACTGCGGAGGTTCGACCGACGACATCCGTCCGATGGAGATTCGACGCTTCAGATCGACCGAGGCGAAAACGAAATCCTGCTGAGCGAGTTCGAGTTTCAGCGCGAATGGGAACGGGACCTCGCAAGCCGCGAAGTTCTTCGGAGCGTCCGATCGTTCGACAGCCGACATCGACGACCGAGAAC